AGGCTTCTCGGAAGGCGAAATTTACCCGTTAACTATACAAATATACCGGCTGTTTCACAAGACTTTGGTTGACAGGATGCGGAAATCGCAAAGTGAGCATAAAATGACTCAAAAAATCACAGGCATGGGAGAGCAAATACACGTACAGCTTTTTGCAAACCCCGCACACAAGACCAGACTCGGCATCCATCCCCAGACGGTGACGATGAAAGTACGGCTGTGTATGGTATATCGCGGAGGACGTCAATACCACTGGCGGCAATTTGATTGGTCTTCGTAACTGAGGTTGTGGACCACTCAGAAGAACCCTGTTGCACGCGAGCTCGAGTGTTGCCCAATAAGCGTGTTGCGCTGACTGACGCTGCTGGCCATACGCCACCTTTGAAGTCAGTTCGTTGAACGGTAGGTGTCACTCAACCCTAGAGGCTTTGTAGTGCTTTCGAAGGCGTGCCGAAATCGTATGCGTTACGTCGAAATAAGCCTTCCTGGTATTAAACTCGGTCCATCTGTGACAAAGTTTCTGACGTCATCTGTTTTTTTTTAATGCTAAAATCTATGCAGGTTCTAGTTGATGGAATTAACAACCTGAGCCTACGTATTTTTGCGCTTTAAATAGCCTAATTGTTGGTCTCCAGAAGTGGACGAAAGTCCACGCTCTAAGACTTCCTTTTAAGAGTTTGGTCACGACTTCAACATTTACCGGGAATTGTCTTCCAACACAGGCATTAAACTCGCATTTGTATTCTTTTTAGTTTAGTCGAAACAACCAATGTGTGGGTTTGCAAGATGGAAAATCAATACATTTGGTCCATTTAAGCATCAAGCGTGCGAATAGGGATGGCTGTATTATTGTCGGCCGTACATCCGTAGGGGTAGTACTATGCGTTTGCTAAAGATGCCATCCCAGAAATGATTGGATCTCGGTTAGAATATGACACCTTCAGCACTCAAAAATTAGACTTTAAAGGTGAGGAGTGAGTTGGAGGAAAACGTTCTTCCGGTCTGTTGGGCCTTGCAGGACGCATCGGGTAAGAAGGCTGAGATTATGTACGCAGGGATCTCGGGAGACGTGGCTGGGTGTGACGGTTGACGTAGCGAAATGTGAAGATTATTAAAAAGCGATTCCCTGTAGTGAGTCAAAAGGAGGCAGAAGAGGATGAGGAGGAGCGTTCACTGAAACAAGTTTCTGCTAATCATGTCTCTGATGACGAATCCGCGACGGATCTCGAAACGTCAGGCGAATAA